ATAGTATTTTGGTCACTCAGACAGACACAACACATTAAGGGCCTGCTTGGGAAGTTTTTTTTTTTCACAGGTTTTGACCCGGCACAGTTTATGAGGAGGGGGTTGGAAGAACCGGCGCTTGCTAGTTTTTTTTTGGGCACCGGTTTTGGATGGTTTAAAAACCACCCAAAATTGGTGTATTGTAATTTTGACTGGTGCCCACCAAATCGGCGGGTCTTGGCCGTTTCTCATATTATCCTCCAATTTTATCAGTTATAAAATAATTATTTTCAACCAATATATTTTCTTCAAAACTAACTTATAAATAAAATTATATTATAATTAAAAAATACTTATAAGTAAAATATTACTTGTAAGATAAGAAAAATTACTTTTATGTAAAAAAGTATGTTTATAAAAGAAAAATACTACTAATAAGACAAAAATTCACTTATAAAATATTAAAAGTTACTTATAAGTAAAAAACTCACTTAAAATTAGTTAAAATTATAAAATTTACTTAGAAATAAAAAATATTAACTTAAAATTTGAAGGAAGCATTTTACTTTATTTAATTTAAGTTAAATATTAACTTATATGTAAAAAATTACTTATAAGTAGAATATCACTTGCGAGGAAAAAATTTCATATAAGAATCTATAAATTGAAAATTTTACTAATGGATATATATGTAATTTTATTCTGGTAAAAAACTTTTAGAACCGGTTGATATTAAACTCTCAAGCATAGGTTGGACAATTTTAAAAACCGCTACTAAAGCCACTCAAAATCGATCCGCTTATAAATGCTCAAAACCGGTACTTTAAAAAACGTTTATAACCGGTACGCAAAAACTCCCAAGCATGCCCTAACCCAAATTTTTTGCCATGTGGCAGAGAGAACACATCAGACCAATTTCCCTCTTGCAATTACGAAGTACTGGAAAATTAAATAATTTGATGTGTTCTATTATAATACCAACAGAAAAAAAAATTTCTTATTTTTGCGATAGTTTCCCCATAAATATTTGCAACACTGCATGTTTGCTTGTTACGTGATTAGCTAATTATATATTAGTAACTAAAATTTAGCCTCTAGTCACACAGACAGAGCACAAACTTCGGAGCTGTCTTTCATTTTTATAAATCTCTGAGATATTATCAAGCAACCATTCTATCTATTCAATTGGCATGGGATGACCTTAATTCTCAAAACTCCTGAAGCTTAAACTTGTCATTTCCTGATTGTATTCAACATTTAATTTGCTTTACAGGCAGAGATGCCTGCCGACAGTGGATATCCTGCATACTTGGCAGCACGTTTGGCATCCTTCTATGAGCGTGCTGGTAAAGTTAAATGTCTTGGTGGACCAGAAAGAACTGGCAGTGTCACCATTGTTGGTGCTGTTTCACCTCCAGGAGGAGATTTCTCTGATCCTGTAACGTCTGCAACTCTCAGTATTGTCCAGGTAATTACAGATGTTGAACAACTCACAAGTTTATCTTCTTTTTAGACATTAGGCCATTTCTTGTACTCAGTTGCCATATTTCAGGTTTTCTGGGGTCTGGACAAAAAACTGGCACAGAGGAAGCATTTCCCTTCTGTAAACTGGCTCATTTCTTACTCGAAGTACTCAGGGGTATGTTTCTATTTTGCTGCATTCTTTGGTTTATATTCTGGACCCATGCTTTATTTTATGCTCTCTGCGAGCCAAATTTCTCTTGGCACTTGCTGAAGCTTGTGTTTTCAGGCACTGGAAACCTTTTATGAGAAGTTCGATCCAGATTTTATTGATATCAGGACAAAAGCTCGTGAAGTGCTGCAAAGAGAGGATGATTTGAATGAAATCGTGCAGGTATTTTCTATTTCTGATTTAAAAGTCCTTTTTCCTGTGACATTGATGGAGAGAGAGTAAAAAATATTTGCTGTTTCCAGTCAGAACAGAATTCAAAATATATAAATATTAAAAGAATCCAAACTCATAACAGCAATATACTCTCTTTATGTGCTTAACTCATTCTGCCTATGTACTTTTATTGGTTAAGATCGATATGAAAGGAATGATTTCTTCATTGACTTGACCTAAATAGTTCGGATCAAGTTTCGTAAGTTGACCTTGAAAGGATTTCTGCAGCCTTTTGGAATGGATTCAGTTTGGTACTACACATTGAAACATTTGTTCTGGGCACAGAAATGTTTGCTACTGTGACCAAAATGCATTCTAATAAGCTTAGCTGTTTATTTGGTAAATTGTCATCTCTCTTTCTGATCCTAAATTTTCTTTCACGAACAATTCCCTCCAATTTCTGTCGCATGTGTCTGAACTATTATAGTCTCTTGTCCAGTTTTTGTCCAGATAAAGAGGCATGGACTCTAAATTTTTGAAATGGTTAAAATAAAATAAAGAAAAAAAAATCTTATGTAGCTTTAAATGATGTCTAGTTATTTCCTTATTGCAGCTTGTTGGAAAGGATGCTTTAGCTGAAACAGATAAAATTACCCTGGAAACTGCAAAGCTCTTGAGGGAGGACTATCTTGCACAGAATGCATTTACACCGTGAGTCTATGCTAGATTTTTTCTTAATAATTGATTCAGTTCAATTGAATGTCTTACGAGACTTATCTGAATGTTGTCTTCGGTGACAGTTACGATAAATTCTGCCCATTCTACAAGTCTGTTTGGATGATGCGCAACATCATTCATTTCTACAATTTGGCTAATCAGGTATATTATTTTCCAAGCTTTTCTCCTTTTCAATTATGATACATGCCATTAAATTTTTTGGATGATCTTTAATTTAGAGGACACTATCTATACCGAAGTGCTTGATTTTGAATCATTAAATGTAAAAAACTTACAATCCTTTATGCACATGTTAAAAGTTCAAATTCGTTATAACTTATACACGAGCTAGCCAAGCATCAAATATTAGTTGTGAATTGATGCTGAGGCTTGTTAACATTTAGTACTATCTTACGTTTCCATTATCTGCAGCTTCTGCATGTAATTTTGGGTTCAATCGTCAACTTTTTGAAGTTTGAATGACATGCTGTGATGTATGGCTAGAAAAACTCTGCAATTTTATTTTGTTTTGAACTTTGCCGTTTGTTACAGTTTGGTCACTCAGTTATATACATTAATTTTCTAACGTAATGTCCAATGTGGATGTCCTCCACGTTGATGTCACGTCAGACTATCACGTGCCATGTCAGACATTCCATTAAAAAAAAAGCTAAAGGATTTTTATTGAGAACAACTCTGATTTTTTACTAGGCATGCGCACCTGTCGCCTGGCTGTTTGCCCCTTTTAACGATGCCGGTTTTCCAATCCCTTTTTGGGACAAAATGTAGGGCCCCCAGCAAAGCTAATTGTTTATGTTTGTTTTACTCTTATCTTGTCTTCATTTGCTTATTCTTTTATTTCTGCTTATTGATGATTACAACCAATTATATTACATTGCTTGTATTTCAATAAGCTGAAAATAGTTTCATTTTGAACAAAACAAAACATTTGATCATATTGGTTATTGATTTTAAGATGTTCAAAGAAGTTACTGAAAATAATTCCAATTGAAAAGCATCGATATTTACTTTGAATTAGAGATATGTAAAATGAAAATAATTGTTATATTTTTTAGTGTGTTCACATTTATTTATTTATTTTTGGCGTCCTATTTGACCTTTTGACCCTTGACACTTTCCCTTTTCCAGTTCGATACCCAGGCTGGTTTTCAGAACACCGTATTTAATATGTAACATGTTTTGATATGCAGGCAGTGGAACGAGGAGCTGGTATGGATGGCCAGAAGATAACCTACGCTCTTATTAAGCATCGTCTAGGAGATTTATTCTACCGTTTAGTGTGAGTATATCACAGACATTGATGATTGAATCGACCTTGTCGTGACATTTTGTAGTATTAACCTGCTTGTTCGATTTTCATGCTGCCAGTCCTCATCTTTCCTTTCTCTTTATACAATACAGGTCTCAAAAGTTCGAGGATCCAGCTGAAGGAGAGGAAACCCTGGTTGCAAAATTCAAGAAACTTCACGAGGATTTGACAGCTGGTTTCCGCAACCTCGAGGATGAAACCCGGTAATCGATGTGGTGTTATTAATTTATGCTATATCTGCCAGTGTTTCTCTACTTTCGCGTTAGTGGGAAAACTAAATTATTGTGATGTTCTTAATCTATCGAGGAAGCAACGAGTTAAGGTAGTTTTAAGGTTCGTGTTTGTCCCGTGTTCAATATGGTTTGTGTAGCTCTATCTGTTTAGTTCAACGATCAATGCTGTATTTTTTTTATTGGTTGCTTTCGTAACTTATGTCGAATAAAGCCTTTGGGTTTGAGAGAGGAAATATACTGTGCACCAATACCACTATTAAATCGTCATCCGTGGGTTCACTTTTGCCATGTTGACGGGTTTAAATCCCGTAAATTGTTTGTTTGTTTGAATTTATAGTTACTGTTAAGACATAAATTAATTTCTTGAAATTGTTTAGGATGTCTCATTTATAAAAGATTTTGATGAATTCTGGTATAAATCACAACGAAGTGGTTATTTTGTTTTTCTATTGACTTTCTTTGTTACTTTTGAAACTACCGTTCGTAAAAATCTTGACATTTTAAAATTATATTATTTGAACCTTCAGATGAATTAACAATTTGTTATCCAAATATTTGAGAATGCTACTTTTATGTCGATAGCAAAATTATTTAATTATTAAGATTGAGTCGTTTGATTGACAATTTTATCGGCTACTATCCTGAGTTTCTAGAAATTTGCATCAAGTAGCTTCAGGTCTTCGTAGATGAATGACCGAGACATTGTGCTAAATGATAATTAACTTTCTGAAAGTAATCACAGGAAATCCGGTAAATCTATCATTTAGCATCGTAATTCATAAAAGATAGTTAAACATAACTTAGGCAGCATTTTTGAATGGGAATAAACTAATCATAACATAGGAGGAATCGTCGGAATCCTTGCATAGTTGATGGTTCTATATCCAGCAAATACCTATAGAAGATCTTTTATTTGAATTGCTGCACCGTCAAGACGAGGCACGGGTGCTGTTGCCATCTCCCATTTTAATTTCGGGCCAGGGAAATCAGCAAAAGTTGCTGATAGGACTCTCTCAGGAAATGCCGTCCTTTTTATCTTGTTTACCTGTCCCCTGTAGCCGAGAGGATGCATATCAGCTATCAAGTCTCATGAAAAGGATAGTAAAACACTGGAAAAAAATCTGTCCATAATCCAATGCAAGATTACAACTGAATACTTCTCAGTGTGACGCTAGCCTTATATACGGAAGACTGGCCAATATTGAAACTCGAAATTAAGACATTTTAAGGAAATCTATTAAACGTGGAGTATGAAAGCTAGAGTTATGTAAATAACATAAACATTCAATTCCTTTACATTACTTAACGCATACAGTTCAGAACGAACTGGCAAGGACGAATGGATGCAATTGGTAAAATTAACCTTAATTTGGGGAGAAATGGTGAGATTGTTAGTATGAACAACGTTGGGAACCACGATAGTTTGGCAATTTTGCCGATGCCATTGGATGCGATGGAACAATAAGTGGATGAAGACGAAGAAGAGGAAGCCCAGAGCAGATCTACAATGAGAAATGCCCCCAAAAAGCCGACACAGAGAAACACGAACTACTTGTTTTTATGCTTCTCAGAACCAGCCTTTCCCAATTTCATTTCAACACGTTCATTCCCTTTCGAATTTCAGCATAATCAAACACACCTTTACAATTAATAAAAAGGAGCATCAAAGGCTGTGAGTGTATGAGAGAGAGAGAGAGTTCATTGTCCTTTTCAGAAGTAAAAATTTCTATATTGGCTATGCAAACACGTAGTATATAGTTTCCACAGGATTTCCTTTTTTCAACGCAGTTTCCACAGGATCTCTTTTTTCTTTTCCACTTTAGCTATGCTATGTTACCAGATTGACTGTAACCTTGACAGCATTTGATTGATATTTGGACCAAAAACATTATTCAACCATCCAATCACAATTGGCCAACTCATTCTATAATTGATTCGGTAAAATCATCTAACAAAGTAGCAAAAATCTATACTTTTTCCCGTGTCGGTGGGACGTAGTGATATGGGCAGAAGACATATTTGAAAAAATTAGAAGTTGTTTAGAAGTACTTTTTCTAGGGATGGACGGGATCGATTTGGTTTATGATTTCGGAGCCATAGTTTTTTCTTTTTTTTTTTTGGTAAGGGGGCCGTTGGTTCAATTTGTAATAATAAAATCAAACCACAACCAAACCATTCCATTTTTGTTTGATTTGATTTTGGTTCCTTAACCAAAATTTCAAGTTATAAATGCAAATTAAATTATAATTTGTCCATTCAAAAATCGTCATGAACAAATTAGAATAAAATAAATGACGTTTGCCCTTTTAAGACTTTAGTTAAATTGAATTTTTTGTAGTGTAATTTGTAACAGAAAATTGGCTCCACGTAGAAAAATGTATAAATTGGGTAGGGTTCGATTCTTGATTCCAGCTCTCAATTCTGAACCCAAATGACGTGGATTTTGATGACAAGAAAAAGCAGAGACCTCAACATAATGAAAAATGATATTCATCCCCAGTGAGGATGCATCCACAATCTATGTGGATGTAAATGATTGGTTAAATGATAAGTGAAATTAAATGACTTATTTTATTTCACCTATCATTTAATGACACATTAACGCCACATAGACTGGGGATGAATAGCATTTCTCCAACATAATAGAATTTAGTTGATTGCCAAATAAGATGATAATGCACAGACCAGTCAACAAAATCGAATTTCTCTTGACTGAATTGTATATCGAAAATATTTAGGCCGTGCTCAATAGCATTCCAGGATCCCAAAAACTAGTGAAAATGGAAGAGAAGACAGTGATGATGAATAGCATAAATGCTGTTCTCCATGTTATAAGGAGACTCGACAGTAAGCCAAACAAGTTGCGATTATTTGAACAGCCAGCCGGTCGGGGAAGGATAAAAATACCAGGCTAGTTATTTTCTATAAGCACCGCGACTGCAGGCTTTGATCTTTTGCTATGGGTAGTTCGACTGTTGTAAAGACTAAAAAGTAGAGAAGCTTACAAACATCATGCCAAGTTTATCCACTAAAGGCTGCCACAATTATATGTAGTTACATCCATGAACACTGCCCTGGAGAAATTGTCAATGGTCAAGTAAATCATAATGCATAGTATACCAGGCATGAGGGATAGTGAAAAATGCTCTAATAAGCATAAAGCAACACCAGATGAGAGTACAAAGTCGGAAAAATGTACGCCGTAATGGTAAAAGATTCCACAAATTTATTCACCACTCAAGACCCACATTTATATTGAGTATTCAAAGGGTACATGAAAATCAGCTTAAAACATTCATGCTTCACGATATCGCTCACTTGATGACTTCCCTGAGCAGCAGTTGCAGAGCAAAATAGATTCTGCTGAAGCTGCAGTCACAAAGCAAAATAGATATTTCAGTAGAAAGCGGACTTTCAGCAACTTCACAAAAGCGAAGTATCTGGAAAACATTTTATCACAGTTATGCAGGGACAATTAACCATCAAGGATATTGACGTACTACATGCCATATCAAATAATTGCCTTACGTTTATCATGTATTAAACTGGAATATAAATACATTTTCACGTAATTGGGAGTGGAAATTGTGAATGAACACGATTTGCATGCACCAAGCATTTCAACATGCAAAATTTTGTCCGTTACAATTTTTGTTCACTGGATTCTGCCTCAGTAGGTTTCTGCAATTTTTGAAAAGGAAGGAGGACGGAGGTCAAGGAAATTGGCTCATATAATTATTACATATTCAATAGAGTAACGGATCACTCGTATCCTGACAACACAGGTACCTCTGCTAGCAAACTAAGAAAGGATGCTCCAATGAAGAACTACCAACTCCTTTGTTCTTAGGGTGCATGAAATGCAAAAACCTATTTAAAACCCAATTCAAGATGCAAATAATAAAAAGGAAAATAGCAAATGTTACGTTTTGCAACTTTACATTTGACCTTAATGGTGATTAAATGCCATATTCAGAGGAAAATCAAGATAACTAAACAATATGGATAAGATCTTCACCCACCAAAATCACAGTGGGATACGGTATCAATTCATGAATGAACACAAGCATACAAAAATTTCTTTTTCTAAAATGAGTATCCTCGAGTTATGGGAAAATAGGACAAACACACAACATTCCCAATGTTACCTTTTACATCCATGAAATACCAGCAAAATCCTCAGAAATTCACACCTTACAAACTGAGGGCATGGAAAACCCTAAGACTATGTTGTTAAACCGGATTAGGCCATATAAAGAATTTAGCATAAAATTATAATGGACATTAGATGGAATTATGGTGGATTCAACTGGAGACTATTCTTTAATTTTTAATTTAAAAATGTCTTTTGCACTATCTACTGTGTGACATAATACAAAATTGAAGGTGAATTTAGGCCTAGATAAAAAAATGAGAGAGAAAGTGACATTCTTTTGAATGAAAATTCAAAGATTATTATCCACTGCAGTACCCTCTACTAAGTAATATTCATTATATTTTATATCAAATTTTTTATCCGGTCTAATCCGGTGCACCAAACATGAATGAAAGCATTTTCCGTTCTCCACTAAAAGCACCCTTTTCCACACGGACCACACCAAATGGTATTAATTTCAAGCCAAGTAATGAATGAAAGCATTTTCCGTTCTTTAACATAACAACATAATAAATGGTACAACAAACATCTGGGCACCAATACAAACATGGAACAGATTATCCCAAATCCGCGACAGAGAATCCAATTTCATAAGACTCGATCGCATATAGCACGATGAATTAAAAAAGGAATCTTTCCTGCATCGTATGAAATCAACTATATAATCAGAAAATCAACAAACAAACAAAAAAATTCGAGATTATAGTAAGGTTTCACGGCACCTAAAAATACACCAAATCAATGGCCACCCTGTTCCTTGGCGTGCTGCTGGTGTTCGAGGTGGCGACGTTCCTCGGGGAGAGCAACGAGGTAAGAGAAAATCATCCCACCAAAGCAGACATGATAAAGCGGGTCGATTGAACTGGTCTGAATGTACTTCGCATGGTAATTATCCAGACCCCGCTTCACCGAATTCTTCAAGTAATCAATCGACAGCATGGGCTTGACGTGTGCCGGCAATTCCTTCACCTTCAAACCCTTTACCTGGTTGTAGAAATTCTTAACCGACGCCATGACAGAAGAAATTGAAACAAGATACAGAATCCCCCTCTCGCCCGTTTATCTCTATGAGCCCTAGAAACAATTTGGGGATTTGGTAATTGGCAATACACTAATATTTACACGGCCAGTGCCCAAACTATTACATAAGTGGGAAGCTAGTCTCGTAACCTAAAAAGTACGAGTTGAACTTCAAAATCAATTCCCAGTCCGAATTTTCACTGCGATTTACAGAACCAATTCCATAGTATACCAAGCATCGTATCTTTATGGGTCAACTCACGCAGCCCCTAATTTGGGTTCCAATTTTTCGGGAAAAACATTTTGGAATAGTAAAAAGTTGAAAATGTATGGTTAAAAAATAAAGTAATGTCATCCACAGTAGGATTACAAACACAGTTTAGGTGATTCTAAATAATAGGTTAACATATCATTTAATGTCACATTAACGTCACCTAGACTGTATTTGTAACTTCAGTAGGGATAAATAGTATTACTCTAAAAAATAAGAAATTTTTTTGAATTTACGTGTGAAACTATTTTATAAGAGAATGTGGGGGTTGAAAATGAGTTTTTATAAAAATTGGCTGCAAACATGGACTAAGTTGATGATAGAATAGTTCCATTTTTTATTAGGGTCCGTTTAATTGTAAGTGTGGAAAATTTGTGGAAAAAAAATGAATTACGGGGAAAATAATTGCCTATAAATTATTTTCGAGAGAATTGTTAATTAAAGTGTTTGATTGATTTTGTTTTCCCTAGAAATTCTATCCTCCCATTTTCATTTTCTTCATCATCACTGAGTCCATTTCCACGTGAACTTCAATTAAACCAAAATCAAAACACCTTCCTCCAATTTCCATTTTCTTCACCGTCACTGAATCCTCCCATTTCCATTTTCTTCACACATTCGCAGCTAGTTGGCTTTCATCTTCAAGACTTCAACGATTTCTTGGCAACTTTTTTTTTTTTTTGCAATTCAATGGTTTTTTGAATTCAAGCTAATACAGAAATGATCTAATGAGCACCGGTGCTCATCTTATCCTAAGCACCGATGAGTTGGCACATTAATTCATTGGTGGATAAAGATTTTGTGAGTTCCAATCCACCAATGAATTAATGTGCCAACTCATCGGTGTTTAGGATAAGATGAGCACCGGTGCTCATTAGATCATTTCTGTATATATATATATGTTGTCCGCTATAATGAATAGGAGGTAATGGTGGTGGTGCGCGATCGAGATACTCAACGCCGAAGCTGAAATTTGTTCTGCAACTTGCGTGATTTATCTGCATTCGAACCGGTAAGAGATGCGATCCATTATAAATAGTTTCTTGATGATATGGGACAATAAAACTGCTCGTCTTGATGAGTATTAGGGGCTTGTAATGGAGTATTGCCATGTGTGTTGGAGGGTCGGCCGGAATAGGTGTTGAAACCGTGAGTGAATGCGTAATTTTGTTGGCTGAATTTTCGGTGATTTTGAAGTGTTATGTTTGGTTTTTGGTATGGAATTGAAGAGTGGGGTGAGGAGATGATGATGGTATGGAAATCCGGTGGTTTGTCGGCAATACAGTGGTTGAATTTTGGAGTAGAAAGGTACCGGCTCCATGGTGGGCATTTTCCAATTTTCCAGTTTGCCAAGAAAATAAAAAACCAGCTATGATGTGGAATTTGAATTCCTTATTTTCATGGAAAAGGGGGTCACGTGCAAGAAAGTTGGAAAATGATTTGCCTAGAATTTTTTGGCTATCAAACGGCCTAAAAAATGGAAAAGTAGAAAATATTTTCAATCTTTCCTGGAAAATCTGCCCGATCAAACATGGCCTTAGTGTTTTGTTGGAGATTGTGTGGTTAAAAAATAAGAAAATTCTTTCAATTTACGTATGATATTATTTTATAAGAGAATGTGTGGTTAAAAATAAGTTTTAAAAAATAATTTTTTGAGGAAATAGGGGCCAAACATAAGCTCAATAAGCTCTTATAGCTAGATGATGAACTTTTATAAAATTAACTAAATGAATCCAAAGCAATTTTTGAGTCTCGAAAGCTCATTTCGACTTCTCAAAAGTTATTTCAAAAGAGCTCCGATGAGGCATGGGAGACAACTCTATGAAGTCACTGAGCCGATGAGATAAATTACCGGGAACCTTTTTTTTAAGTAAAGAATTGATTGTGATAATAAAGAGGCTTGGTGGTCAGTTCGTGGGTACCAGTTCATGAGATGTTCGATTTTTTGTGATTTTTTTGTAATGATTTTTAAAATAGTCAAATGTATGATCGGGAGTTTATCATCCAACAACTCTATATGTTTAAAAAAAAGAGATTATGCACACGTGATTACGCCCAAAAGTAATGCGGTGGTTGTAGTAAAATTTATAGGGAGATGGAAAAATTATCAAGAATTCCAAAAATGAGTGAATTATTCTCTTCAATGTGCAGTAAAATTCAATGTTTGAAATGTGAAATTAGAATCAATAACTTGATGTAGTAAAGCGTCGAAATTTCCTCAATTGGATTTGATCGATCACATCAATTATTCATTTTATAACTCAATTTGAGAATTTTCATCTCAGCTCTATAATCGGAAGATTTTTCGTGAAAACCAATTTAATTCACAAATGTAATCTTGGAATCTAGACTTATGATATATTCGTACAATTTTATTAGAATAAGATCAAAGATCAACCATGTACATCAAGCANAAAAGTCTAAATACTAAAATTGTTCAACAATGAAAATAGCAATTACATGAATAAATTTATTCGAAATCTCGTAATCCAACGAGTTCCTTCCTTGCTTCATCTTGGTTTTTAGTTCCTCACGGGCTTCTTAAGCAAGAATTGAGAGGAAAAGTGATACAAAAACCCTTTTTGCTCAAAATACGGCTCTCCCTTTCAAAGTCACGAAAATTTTCCTTTTATTATCCCTAAAAAATTGCCTTAAAACATTATCAAAACAAATATAAGGAAACTAAATTTTTCTTCCCATTTTGGCTCGAGGTGCGCTCCTAGTTTAAACTAGGGCGTGTGCCTTATGGATTTTGGCCGCCTTAATCGAGGTTGCCTTGGTGTGAGGCGCGTGCCTCGCTTGCAGGCAAGGAGCGCGCCTTCCAGTGTTTATGGGACATATCTTTTTCCATTAATATTTGATTGAGGTGATTTAAAATGCGTTAGAAAGCTAACTTCACGGACTACAACTTGGCTTTATATACCATCTTCGAATTCGATAGTTTTTCGTGTTAAAAACTGGTCTCAATATGAGACTGAAAATCGGTGCAAAACTTTTTAGCATGAAAGTTGATATGTGATAATGACTTAGGCTATATCTCACCCCTTTGACTTCTTTCTTCATCCAATTGGCCTCTAGCACTCTCAAGTATTCATTGTGAGGTTCAATATAACTTTTGAATATTTGTACTTTGGTTCCCGAACTTTCGNCTATTTAAAATGCATTCTTTACTCAATAATATGCCTTGAACAGGGTGTAAATCACACATTATCCCATTAAATATTGTTACATATAAACTCAAAAAAAATTCTTATATTTTTTTACTTCACATTCTCCCAAAAATTATAATTTAACACACTTTCCCAAAAACTAATACTTAGGGCATGTTTGAGTTCCATTTTATTATAAGAATATATTTTGAAATAATAAATTATTAGAAAATGTGTAACTAAGAAATCTGATTTTTTTTAAAAAAATTACGCGTAATATTATTTTATTGAAGAGTGTGTTGGTGAAAATAAAAATGTAAAAAATATATTTTAAAAATAACGAGATAATATTAATCTACCGCTTTTCTTCTAGCCGTGGATTCCACTTCAGCCCTAATTCTAAGCCGCCCCCACCACTCCTTAAATTCAAACACACAAATTATGCACACCTCACCCTATATATATTAGCGGTCCTCTGCTTCACAAATACCCATCAAACCCCACATGGCACGGCCTCTTTCTCAAACCCTAATAAGAACCGCCGCCGCTCCCTTCTCCTCCTCCGCCATCACCTCCCATTTATCCGCCACAATTAAACCTAAAATCATCCGCCGCCATCTGTTTAGCCTGGCGGATAGAAACTCTTATATAGAGCTTTCTCAGCTGGAGGAGGAGGCCAGGGTAGTGAAGAAGATAGAGGACGCTATACACACCATCATAGTCAAGAGATCTAGACCCGATTGGTTAACGTTTGTACCCGGAGCTTCGTACTGGGTCCCACCGATTCGGCACTCATACGGCGTTGCCGAAATTGTTCACCAACTATCTAACCCCCTCACGGAGGAGCAGTTTAACTCGCTCACCACCTTCCAGGGATGGCCTTCCTCTGCTTTCTACCTTAGGCATGGTATGCATAGGATTTATTTAAAATACTTGCATTTTAATTAATGATGAATCAGTTTTGATGGGGTCGTTTTTTCTAATGCATTCTCTTCTTTTATTGTGTTTTCTTAATTTATGCAACTTGTGTGCTATATTTATGTGTAAATCAAAGGCATATGATGTACTTTTCAGAGCTGAGCACTCAGATTTCTCTGGTACGATGATTCTCACCTGAATAGGAAGATCTGATGCCTCCTAAGCTCATTTCTTCTAATACGGAAATCTTTCTTTGTATCTGATTTTTCCATTATTTTTTTTATTTAACTTGTTCTTTGAGCTTATTTACGTCATTTGACAAGGACAAATTATGTTGTACAGTTTAAATGCATTTCCCCTCTTGCAACGATAATCCTTGTGTAATAGCTATATATTTTTCATTAATCCACATAGATATATTTATTTTGATTTTTGGGTTTATGATGAAGCCGATGATGACTAATTGTATCTACCTGAAAAGCATCACAGCTATAATGTAGATAAGACATTGAACTAGGACGGTCTGAGGCTTTATTTTTCCTTTTATTTCAAGTTTTCATGAGGTCTAAATCACGTCTTCTTATTGAACATATATTTTTTTTTCTTTTGTCCTCCTAGATCATCTAGTCTGCATTGTTTATGAATGATGAGAACGAATAATTTACAGTTATCCCTGTCTGATAATTTCTGCTGAAAGATTGTAATCTGACATTAAACACTGCAGATCTTTATTCTTTGATGGGATCAAGTGTCTTTTCAAATTCTTTTAGAATTTCATAATTTGATTTTTTCTATTTTTGCTCTTTGCTTATTTTAATGCAACTGTGTGTTGTTGGTTTATAGTGACCATGACATCCCACTTCCTATTTGTTTGATGATTTTGTTGAACTTAACTGGATTTTTGTCCTTTTAAGAGTTGTATGCACATGATGTTCTGGTACAGTGGTACTCATCTTTCTTGCATGTTATATACATTCGGTTTTAAGCTATGTTTGCGTACCACGAGTCTCAACGGTGTTTTGAATGATGAAACAAAATTCACAGTTATCCCTGTCTGATGTATTTCTGTAGAAACACTTGTGATCTGACCGATACGCTGTTGAACTTATGGTTTTTCGTGATGAAACCTAATGTGCGATCAAATTCTTGCAAAATTTCTTGTTGCGTATGAAGTTTGTTGCAAGTGCTGTTATATATAATTCTCATATTGACATAGCTGGTGGGGAAAATTTACCTGGTTTGGATCTACCTGTGCAGGACCAGTCACGGAGTAGGTGTGAAGATGCCTGTTATGTCATTGGTAATGTACCGATTTGATCACAAGCAGGGTTAAACTTCACTCGACTTTTGAGTTATTTGGTTTGGATGGACTTGGTGTGATCTAGGTTAATTTAATGATCCTAGTGCTTATCACAGTTTCACCATATTCATCCAAGTAGTTCGACATGACTACAGAGTAGTTAATCTGCCTTGTCACAGTTTGCGCCCTCTTTTCAATTTTCTCATATGGCCCCGTATTGATTGAAGATGGCATGTCTCATTTGGCTGAGTGGGGAGACAGGTACCTCATCAAAGGAGGAAAGGTTGAAATGATGTGTGTGTATTGTTAGAAATTATGAACTACATGACTGACCAGCCTGATGTCCTAGGTGGGTGTAAAATTTGTAATTCATGTGCGCTAAACTGGGTTTGATGATGTTATTATGTTATGGACCATTAAAAGATGGTAGAAGTGATGTCTTCTGGTATCCATCGTAGGATGGACTAGGCAACACTGCACATGATTAAAGATGAGAAGAAGATAAAATCTATACTGAGTGATGTTTGTATAAGAGATAAAATTCCTTATTTTGTCGGTATTGTTATGGAGTCTTTCAGCTTGTTATTTTTTTCTCAAGTGATCTGTTGCCAAGAATTGTTCAGGCACGTTACTACATGTTAATCAAACAACTGAGGTTGAGATGTACCATAAGATGGTGTTTCTTTGGCAGATATGTATATAATCAACTTGGTTACTGCTGTACAAATATTCATCTTAGTACCACAGTTTCTTGCCTTAGATCTCTTGTATATTTGAACATACTCTCAACCCGTTTCTAAAAACTGTAAAGCGTGACTCTATGGCAAGGAGGCCTTTATGTGCTTTTTGGTACAGTGCTTTTAATAGTAATTCAATAATATGTACTAGAAATGGTTGTGACATTCAATCCTTTTCTGTTGTATTTATGTTTATATTTTAGTATGTAGAATTTTTTTGCTTTCGATGTTGAGTTATCTGGATTATAATTTTATCTCTTTTGTATCTTTACTGCAGACCTGAAAATAACCTTTACCTATGCTACATACAATTTATAGTTTTATACAACACAATAATGGTTTAATTTATGGAAATTATGGCTGGATTCCAACTCTCATGTTGTGTGTTTATGGTTCCCGAACCTGTAAAAGTGAGATAAAGCAGGTTTAGATTTATTTGAATATATGTTATTTGGATTTACTACATATTTTATGGGATTCGTAATTGTCCAATTATACATTTGATCAATTTTTATCAAAATTTATTGAAAATTTAAGATATGACGATATGTGAAAAGAAGTATTTTTGCGTTGGAAAATTGTGGAATATGTTCATCATTTTTATAGTTGTTTCTTTGTTGTGTTTCATATGTAATTGTATTGGTGAATTCGGAGGAAGATGGACAATATATGAAAAATCTGAAATGCCCTAATGGTTGATTCTATGTGAATATTATTTTCTGTTCCCTTTTCTATGATGTCCGTATAAAATTTTCTATAAATGTGTAATCATTATTCTAGAGATTCAATGAATTTATGCTTTAGGTCATGTTTTATATTAACAAATTTTTGAAACATCCCACTAAATGTGAAATCTCCAAAAGGTGTATGTGTTTCTAGTTCAGATGGTATTTTTCTTTTACCCAATAGCTCACAGAGAGGTGAGCTTAAATGGCCAACAAATAGAAGAATATTTATGCTACTACCAACTGAGAAAAAAAAAATCACGTGTTAAGAAGTGTTTTGAGTTGAATTCATGTGGAAGTTTTCACAGTCAATTATTGTCCGACAAGCAACTAGTATCATTTGGTGCATTAATTGATCTATTGGTGGTGACAATTGAGTGTGTAGCTGATTTTGGAGGTCTAGGGACAACAGAGGAGATGGAATTAGCCAGAGGGGACTGATGAGTGTGTCAAGGAAAGGAGGATTGGAGTAAAATGCCTACGAAGCTGAAAATGGAATGTTATGATTTGTGAAATTTAGGCTACAAATTAATCCTAGTCACCAAAATAACATGATGATGATGTTAATCTAGTTAATGGTAGAATTTGTCAGAATTTTATTATTCAATAAAAATAACTTACAATACATTTTACAAGAATTGACCCGCGGGTTGAACCATCGGATCACCTGTTGAATCACTGATTCGTTGCATTGTTCGGGTTAGTTTCTGGTCGGGGTCTCACAACTATGGTTGAGGGATCCCAAAGCTAATTTACCTGGAATTCTATATGTTGGTCCCCAAAGATCGATAAACGAGACAATTCAGTATAAAATTGTACTAAGATCATTAATATTGGTAGAAGTTGTAGCACTTTTCAATGGATTAGAATTAATTTTGAACTCTAGAGCTTAGCTTGATATTTCGCATCATGGAAAAAATTTCGTTCGTGGGATGATAAAAATTTACAAAATACATTTATTTATATATATAAAGCCTCTATTTCATTTTAGGTAAAAATCAAATTTTTAGTAAATTTAGATAAAAATTGATGAATGTGGTTGGAAAGTTGTGAATTCCATGATTAAAATCATTTATTGACTTTAATTTATATTTTAATCGATTTTTTTAACCGAACCAAATGACGTCAAAGTGTGTGTACGCTTTGGCTAATGTATTCACACCATATTTTTGTAGGTTATACCATTATATATATGGTTCTCAATCTTTATTCATTATATTATTCATGTACTTAAATTATTTTCGTCACGTTTTTGGCATTACTCTTTATTAATTAACGCGCATAGTCCTTCATAACAGTTTTTGTCTAAAAAAATTTATCGAGGTGTGAAAAGACTTATTTGTCATCATATTTTTTAAAATAAAATAAATGCAAAATTCAAAGCAATGCGAATGAAATTGGATCTGAATGCGATATGAAGTTAATTAGACAAACCATGGTGAAATATTGATTCTTAACATCTTTCTTGTCATAGTTGTTTCTCGAACTTTCAATTTTTATGATAAGAAACTGTGTTAGCATAATTGTTGACCTTGACTTTTGTACATCCAACGTGCCTAATAGATTCTAAGCCCTCTCGCATCTACGTAAGCCTGATTCCTGCACAATAGAACAAACCGTTAGCCACATATAGTTTCCTCGGGTGGTGGTGATGTTGGCCGCATGCACTCCAATGGTCAAATCAATTGGAGTTATAAGTATTTGAACGTGAAAGGTGCTTTAAATGCGAGCCTCCAATATAAAAGGGGGGGTCGACTTTGTAGAAAATTTATAATAGTGAAGAGAGTAAAGTTATAGCTCGAAATTCTAAACTTGCATTATCTTTGGAATGACACATTGTGTGAGTTTTTATAGTATAATACGGAGAATGCTGATTGTATGATGAAAGTATACGTTTCCTCATTCATGCGGCTAAGACCTCTTGTCAAAGGCATTAATCAATCATAAGTATTTAATACCGGTACCACTTTGATGCCCATAAACCTGACGCAAGACTTGGACTTGACCTGATTGGCTAAATAGGGCGAAGTTTGCAATGAGTTATCATATCAATCATTTACTAATGATTGCACAAAAGATCTCCTGCTAAGCCTATTACAGCCTCGCCACGTCATGAGGGTTTGGTGGCTCTGACAAATGGGTTCGGCTTTCGGTATAAGTTTGGTCTCTTTGTGGGGGTTCGGTTAAACTAACTCTTGGGCAGAGTGGCGTGGAGTGGGGGTCCAAACTCGCCTGTCGCGTAGGATTTATGGCGCCCCATCACACGAGACATAACAATATATTTCCCCAAGTCCATGTATGCTTATTCATATAATGCCTGGACTTTTAAGTTGAGATGTAGTTGCCGTTGAGTTTTTCTTTATTTTATTTGAGGTGTGTTGCGTTTTGCGAAAACATGCTCAGACGAAGGGGTACTCATATATGCCGACGTAACATCGACTATTCAATTAGATTGAGCCTATTTAATCAAGCAAAATTGTCTTGGACTTGGAGCTTGGTGTTTATTTCTTTATATATATGTGAGTCTATTTGACAAAAAATGTATAAAATCTCTAACTCTAGTCAAATCTCCTTATGTCATCTCTTGCACTCATATTATCTTTCGTTTGACCGTTGATTTGATCGTCGGAGTGCAAATGATCGCCAAACTTTTTTCTTGATCAACAGTATTTGCCTTCTAACTGGGTGTTCGAATGTGTAGGTGGTGACGCCTACATGGAGGGGATGTGAACAAGATTCTGTTGACGCATTTTTTGAGGTCAACAATAATTATAGTCATCAATTTAAATAGCTATATATATATATATATATCAAATTGGTCATTCAAATAAAATTAAGATTAAAAGTATCGATACTTAATTTTATTGATACTTAATGCTACAGTCCTTATAAAAATGTTACTTTACTTAGCCCCCGTTTGGGCCACTTTTTTATCTCATTAAAATGAAAAATATGACCGTTATCCATCCCATCAACATTTAAATTCAAATTTTCTATATCTTGTGTAGGCCCCAATAACGACTATATTTTTCATTCTTATTTTACAATAAGGTGGCTCAAGCAGGACCTTATCATCTATTATTTGTCGCGAGTCTTTAATAGGAAAATTTTAAGCTAAAGACCAAAATTATTAAGGACCTCAAGTGCAATTTCCCGTTTCCTAAAAGGCCTGGACAGTGCCTGTTCTCTTTACTGTTTTCAAGCCGTTTTCTGTTTTCGATTTTCCAAAACACTGAAAACGCGTTCTCTTCCCTATTTTCGAAAACGCATTTTGGAAAACGAAAAAAAAAATTGTACACAAAACACCAAAATGACTTTTTTCACGTTTTGGATGTTTTCAGGCAAAAACAGGAAAATCTGAAAACACGCGAAATGACTATTTTGGAACAGCCACTCCTATCATTTCGCTTTCTCCCATTTTCTTCCAATCCATCTCATGTCTTCCGTCTCTCTGGACGCCGGTTATCCCTTGTCGATGCCCACGAAGAAGATGCGCCGGTACCGGAGCCGGCGTGGACGTAGGAGACTCTTCCGTAAACGCAGGCGTCGCGACCCATTTATCACGATGCTACTCTGCCTCCTCTCTCTTCGACTCGGCGACCCATTGGTGACGGCGTCGTTCCCGGCAGGGCGAAGGTGAAGTTCTTTCTATTTTCGATTTAAATTTTGGGGGTTTTTGGTTTTTTCGATTTCGATTGTGTTGATTGGTGAAAACCAATTGATTTCGACCCAATGATATCGAATGTGTAGATTGGAAATTTCAGAGGTGACTGGTGTGGTAGGCAGTGGCGGAGGTGACTAGTGGATA